TATATATATATATAAATTTTTCTATTATTTATTGAGGCAATGCCATTAATTTTTGTCTTATTTATTATTGTAGAATAATTTGTAAAAAGTCTCATAGTATACATATGTACCAATGACTCGGACCGAAATGAAATTTCGATTCGTTCAGAGGCTGTACCCAATTTTCGGTTTCGGTTCCGGTTCCGGTCTTTTTATCGATAACGGTTTTAGTCTTTTTCGGTCTTTTTCGATTCTAGCTTGAAAAAGTTCGAAATCCAAGCGGTTTCGGTTCTTTTTACCGATAACGGTGATCATAACTATTTGGATTTAAGTTTTTTTCGGTTACGGTATATGATTATCTACTGTAGAAAAAGATAATACACAAGCATAAATTGCATATTTAAGGAAATTCATTTTTTATTTTTTAAGATAATATTGAATTGGAGATATGTAAGCACTAAGCAATGTAAGGCCCGTTTCTACAATGCAGTTTAACTTTAATCTCGGTTCAACTTAGAGCCTTAGCACAAGAACTGTCTTAAGATTATAAGTCAGCCTTTCTGTTAAGATCCTTTCTTTTTATCTTTTTCTAAAATTCTTAAAACTAGAAAAAGATGAAAAATTAGTTGAACCGAGATTACAGTTAAACTGCATCCAATTGAATCCAATTGAATCCAATTAAATCCAAAAAAAATATTCGCTATTTAAAATATTACATTCGGATAGAAAATATTGCATTCGGATAGAAAAAAATTTCAATCCATTTTAATCTATTCTCGTTTGATGAGAGACTATCTTTACTTCCCCCTTGACCCTTTCTGAATCAGTAAATAGCAAAAGAAACGTGAACTAAAAATAGATTACGCATGCGTATTGAATAAATTTTGATAAACTTTTCATGCCTTTTACAATTATTTACTGATTATCATGGGAGATAAGATAAGATAATCTTCATCCATTTTTACGAATGTTACAAGAATCGAGCAACTACAGGCGAGCATTTCTCTCTCTTTCGACTGTAAGAGGGGAACGCATTGTTCTTATTGTTCAGCATAGCTGACGCTTAGTCATAGGGAGGGATGATTATATCATAAGAATATATATGTTTGATGACTGTAGTCGACGATCGAAGATCATCATACCAAAGAGATTAAAAAATCCGAACCGAAAACTAGACTGAAACCTAATTGAAAAATATTTTCGGTCCGGTTATCGATTTCGATTTCGGTTCGGTCTGAGTCCCTGATATATACTGTTATGTATTCCGTAGGTTCTCGTGTGGGACTTTTACAATCAAAATTGGGAATTGTAATTTTGAGGAAATACGAGGTGGAACCTTGCAAATAAACCTCTAATATCAATGATTATCGAATCAGCTAGCATCGAAGCAGTTCGCTTCTTCAACAATGACATTGAGTGATACTATGCATCTCAACATCCATAGAATTAATAACATACAATATAAAGATGTTTTTATGAAAGTTTTATCTTATTAATTGTTTATAAGAAACTTTTTTAATTATTGTTTACAATAAAAATATATAGAAATATGCGATTGTTTTTATTTTTTATCATTTTAAAATACCGGAGATTTATCATGTACATTCTATATAATTTGTTATTTCTAATCTAATTTTTCTTTCATATATCATTAATTAATTAGGTAACTTAAAATTTATTTACTCTAGATAAAAAAATTATCAATATCGATTATAGACAGATTCTGAAGATAACAAAATTATACTTTTCTTTGTTTTTGTAGCGTGTCATTTCTAGAAGATTTTTGACCGCTGAAGTTGAATCCGTATTTAGAAAAATTCTATCACATCACATCACATTTTCGAGTAAAATAGTATCATATAGACCAAAAATGGCTTTAGCCATATATATTTAGAATATATATTTAGAATATATATATATATATATATTTAGAATGGTATTGCAATTAAGGAAATTTTATTTTGCTAGTTTTATCTATATTATCTTATGAGTGGTCAACAATGATATGTTATCATTGCAAGATGAATTATGTGATTTGCAAAACGATATTTTAAAATGGTTAAAAAAACTGCTGCCGATTTTTACAAAATGTTAAAAGAATCATCATATCCCAAGCTTCGTGATTTCGGATGCATTCTGTGTTCGGATCTACATATTTATGCGAAACATCCTTTTCAAAAATAAAACTTATAAAAAGTGAGGGACGTTCTTTTTTGAGCGATGATTCTTTGGCTCTTATACGGCTCGCTATATGTAATATACAAATCGACGTTTCTGATCCTGCCAATAAAAGATTCTGAAAATCAGAATAAGTCTTTTTATTTCACTTCACTTCACTTCATTTTTTATTTCAATTTCGTTTGTATTTAATTATTTGGTCGTACAATTCATCATTTTTGTCAATAGACTAGGCATATTGGCGATACTTAAAAAAGAAATGCGTCAACAATAGTAGCTCAAGAGTGATGTGGAAAATTACTAAAAATTTATTGGATTTATCTTCGCTTTAAGCGCTTAATATTAACTTAATATATGCTTTATATTAACGTTGCTTCATTCTGTCTTAATTATATAATGAGCGAAAAAACAGATAGAATGAAGTTTATAACGTGAATACCCAAAACGAGTACACTTCATGTCTACGAATCAAATTATACGTTCCTAAATGTCAAGTAGCATTTGGACTGCGCGGGGCGAGAAATGAGAGGAATAATAGAAGGCGGAGCCGAGTCGACAATCGTTCGAGAAATGCAAATCTTGCTGAGATAAATTATTCATTTTAATTTTGTTCATTAATTTTGTTAATCGAGAGACATAATAGTGTCTCGCGTCAGTGAACGCGCAGCGCGACGAGGCGCGTATGCCTAATTTCAAATCTACAACTTCAGGTATAGTTGAATTAATACTACAAATTCTTTGAAGCATTTGATTAACTAAGGAAGAAAGAATTTTATTAATTGATCAATCGAAAAATGCTTCGAAGCATTCGTAACGGCAACTTGACCGCACTCTTGGTTTGTGTTTAATAAAAAATCGTTCATCACAATTTCATTTCAAAAGTGGCAAAAAAAGTCAATTCTCGCCTATATTATTCCAATTTTCTCCAGACATGATAAACCAATTTTGAAGACAGCATTTTCAGCGTCAAAAAATATTTCGGAAATAATACTTCATAAGCCAAAGACAAAATCAATGTTATACAAATCAATTATTAGATCAGTGCAAAAGTGCATTTGTTATTCAAAGTTTAAATAGTGCAATTTTGTTAAAAATAAACGAAATTTAAATTAAAAAAAAGAGGTTTAAAGCTTGAAATCTCTGCTTTCGAATGGTTACTATATTTTTTTAGTTTATGTGAGTGTAATTTTTACATATAGTAAAACTACGAGCCGAAAAAAATGAAAAATTTTCTTTTCACTGTAAGTCTGTAGCGTACCTAAAAAATTTGAAAAAATTTTCGATTCTCTATTATAAAAGCTTGAAGCTTACAAAATCATTTTTTAAAAATGTTCCTACGATTCTTTGTTACTGAGTTGTTGCAAATTAAATAAAATGAATATTTTGACTTTGATTGCTTATAACTTTATATCAAAACCTCAATTAAAAAAAAATAGATTCTTAAATTCTCTCATCAGATAGAGTAAGATTTAGATTTTATTTTACTTTTAACAAAAGTAACAGCTGTTTGAAGTTTGAATAATAAATCGGGCACGAACTTTTGCACTGATTCAATATTTGTTCGTATTTGCTGTTTATCTTGATAGACAACTAAGGATGTGTCGGTGAGGAGTTGCAAAATTAATGTATAATTATATGTATACACGTAATATCCTTTCACAATTTAATGAATTACAAAAATGAATCCTGCCCGAAGGACTATCAGAATAGTGTATCTATTTTGTGGTTGGACAGTGATTAACTTATTCCGCGCAGACCGCGAGAACTGCACAACGCTAACGCGATGGAGTGAAAGTTTTTGATCCAACCACATTAAACAATTTCCCGATAATCAACCTTCATGATTTAGGGAATCTGCGCATCGGTTACGACGGAATTGTTTTCTGTTGCGACAGATTCGCACGAGAAACTTCTCGAATGTTCTTTTTAGAATGATCCAAGTCATTATGATATCAAAGTAATTAAAGTCATTTTTTTATCATTTTCGATTTATTTTGATATTACTTTGACGTTATTATGACTTGTTGTTCTATTTGGGGTCAAACAAATGTGCGCTGACGGCGCGGAATATGCGACGAACGGATGTACTTACAGATGATTATGAAAAATTACATTTTTTGATGAGCAAATGCAGAGATATAGATACATCAAATGTTAAAAACAGAGATTAGAAGTTATGTGTATAATTTCTAGTCTACATTACAATAATAATATACATTTATATAATGAAGGCGAATCAAAAGGAGAATAAGAAGGGAAGTAATAATGCATAAATACAGTTGCGCGCATGATACTGAAGTTTATTCGACTTCCGTAACTTGTGAAAATTGTCATGCTTGCATTGAAAATTTCGTGTTGTAGTTTTTAAATATTCTGTATTTTAATCAACGGTGAGAATCAATTTAATGAATGTTAATGAAAATAAATTTTGCTAATAGATCCTTTTTAATTCTCATGATGATATTTTTGTTAATCATACATTGATAGATTATTTTATATCACATCTTATAACTAATAGATAATTATATTTGTTTGATTGATGGTGTATAAACATATCAAAAAAATTTTTCAAATATTGATATAATCATCATTTTTTGAACATAATCAATATCCTATATATAATATACTATCACATATAATATACTATCACATAAGTGTTGTGGCACACCTAATGTATAAGTACAATATCTATAAAGATTTTAGTAGTAAGTACATTATTTATAGGTCCTTATAATATCTGTATCTGTACGTGTACCTGTACTTTTTTATTTTTAACACCTTTTAAGTACAAAGTATTTATACGTTATGTCATTATATTATAAACTTAATTTTAAATCTCAGAAGAATCAAAGAACCTCACACGTTTCTTATGGATTTTGATTCTCGGTCAAATCTTCTCATATTTTTGAAAATTGTAATCCCAGGTATCCTGATTAAAAGTATCAATGGGCGTGATCTTCTAAAATTAAGTTTAGTTTTCGAGATATAATTGTTCAAACTTGCTTAATTTCTATTTCGGATATTAGGCGATATAAACAATCTTGATCCCACATGATCCTATAGACTTGAAAAAAATATCTAGAGCCTTTTATAATAACATGCGAAATAAGACTGCGCCATTTGATACTTTTAATCAGGACACCTGGAACTACAATTTCCCAAAATATAATTTTATGAGAAGATTTGACCGAGAATCAAAATCCATAAGAAATGTGCAGGGTTTTTTCCAATACAATATTTGACACTACTGACATTAAAAAAAAATATGACAATTATCTAAATTTTTATAAGTTAAGCATAAGTAGTAATTTGATAAAATAAAATTCATTTACACAGTTTTTTTTTCATAAGAAGTACTTAAAAATAATTAAATCTTTCAGATCCTTTTATACTATATCTATATTTCTTTTATCTGTATCGATATTTAAATAATTTTTAAAATATATATATCTATATTTATAATTAAAGCTGGGATGATATAAAAATACATTTTTATTATTAATATGAATACAAACTTGCATATTTATACGAATTACGTAACAAAACTTACTTTTATTTTGCATATTTTACATATATGCATCTTTTTGAGCATATTTCTTGTAAAATTCCATATTTGCTCATATAGTCATTAGTATTTACAATTCTTTGAGAAATTAAATATTTAAGACTTAATTTTGTATTCAAATTATTCAAATTATTCAAATTATTCAACTTAATAACTGTATGTAATAGTAAATGTATTCAAATTAGTCATTTTGTGTTAATACTGTTTTACATATTTTTTGCTTAATTAATTTGTTTATTTTATTATATTTTTATAGTTTCTTTCTGTGCTTTTCATTTAAATATATTGCATATTTTTGCATATTTTTACCAAATTTTATGCATATAATATGCATAATATGTAGATATATTCTTATTTTTACATGCATATATAATTCCCAGCCTTACTTATAACTAAATACTTTTCCTACACAATACTTATACCTAGGTATCTTTCAAAAGGTGTTATACAACACATTGCGTTTAAGTAAAAGAAACGTTTTTACAATCTGGTTATAAATTGAAACATAACGCATCTCTACTTTCACACAAGTACAAAAAAGCATATTTTTAACAGCTGCAAAATGGGACTGATAACGGCTTATTGGGGCCTGGATGGCATGATCATTCTTATGACTCTGATAATAACTGCCTACTTTTACATGACACGCAAATTCAAGTATTGGAAGAAACGAGGCATTTTAGAAATAACACCAATACCTTTCTTTGGCAATTTTAAGGAGTGTCTATTCCAGAAGAAATCTCCGGCATATTTCTTAAAAGATATCTACGATGAAATGAAGGGCCTACCCTATGTGGGTTTCTATGTGTTGGACAAACCCTTCCTGCTGGTTCGCGATCGAAAACTCGTCAAGAATATTTTAGTGAAAGATTTCAATTACTTCTCTGATCGGTATAATACGGCCGATCCAATCGATCGCATAGGTTATGCAAATCTCTTTTTTATAAAGAATCCAGCCTGGAAAGTAGTAAGAACAAAACTTACGCCATTCTTCACATCTGGCAAAATGAAGAAAATGTTTGATTTGATGTTAATATGTGTAAAGAATTTAGATGAATACCTCGATGCACTAGAATTGGAAGGTGAGTGTTTAATAATTCATGAGATACAAAATATTACAGAATATAAAGAATTTAAACTTTTATAATATTATAATGTAATTTTATATGTATATATATATATAT